GGTCTGGGCCTGACGGGAGGTCTGTGTCTTGTGGGGGCAGAGGTGATGTCACAGCGGAGTCCTGGGGTAAGGTGAGGCCGTCTTCAGCCTGCTGGAGCACAAGTGTGGCTGTAGCTACAGGCTTCGGGCCTGACAGGAGGTCCAGCCCTCCTCCTTCCTTCAAGTTCTGCGGAGAGTCTGGACACAATGTGAGGCTTGCTTCTTCCTGTGGAGTTGGAAGTTTTTCTGCAGTGACAGACTCTTGGCCTAAGATCTCACTGATGCCCTCCTGGGAGGGCTGAGGCACTGCCATGGCAGCAGGTGCTTGCCCAGCGGTGGAGTCCACTTCTTCCTCCCCAGCCTGAGGAGTCATCCTGGTAGCCACCTCCACCTGGAGGCCTAGGGCTACCTGCAGAGTGTGAGGGGTCACAGTGGCAGTGGACTCCTGGCCTAAAGCAAGGCCGTCTTCTGTTACTTCTGAGAAGGATTCCTGTCTCTGGGAGAGATGGGCCCCTCTGTCTGAGGTCTGAGAAACAGGCTCCAAGGCCAAGGACACAGTCCCTTCCAGAACCTGCAGCCCCTCGGCCCCGCCTCCGCTTTCCTCTTCTGTCTTCTGGACACTGTCCTGGAGCAGGGTGGGCTGGGCGTGGGGCTCCCCGCTGTATAGCCTTTCATCATCTACCTCTGCGTAGGAGGCTGAGTCTGAGTCAGAGGAGGCTGCAGAGGTGTCATCCCGGAAGGCGAAGGCCTCATCCATGCCCTCCGTGATGGACAGGTCAGACAGTGACTGGAGGAAGGAGGCAGACGTGCTGTCCTCCTCACCCTCCCCTGCCAGGTCCCCACCTGGGCCGGGAGCTGCCTCGACCTCCTCTTCTTCTTCCTCTGGGGATAGTGGTGTCACCTCCACTGCCTCCACCTGGAAGATGAGGCTGCCTTGGAAGGGTAGGAGGGCTGCCGGGATCATTGGGTCATTGGCCAGGAAGTCCAGGTCGAAGAAGTGGCCCTCCTGGCCCCAGGAGGAGCTGCTGTCTGCGGAGAGGCTGGACTCAGAGGATTGGGGCTCTGGGGTCCCTGCAAGGTGCAGCTCTCGTTCATCTGCCATGGACCCCTGGGGGGACAGGCCCCAGCCTGAGGGGAAGTCCAGCCCTTCATCCGGAGCCAGTAGGCTGAGGGAACAGGAGGGTGAAGAGGCCCAGCTGTCCCCATCAGCCGTAATGTAGGAGCCCGAGGGCGAGGCAGGGGGCGAGTCCAGCAGCTCATCCTGCATCTCAGCCTCTGAGTCCTGGGCATCCCCATGGGGACCGGAGCCAGGAAGCAGGGCATAGGTGGTCTTGGTGGGGGTGGAGGGAGGCGTGAAGAAGGAGTCAGGGTCTGGGAGAGGGAAAGGCACAGAAAGATCACCCTGAGAACACAGCTCGGGGGGTGGGTCCAGGCTTGTGTGCCCACCCTCCTGGTCCCTGAGCGCTGTCCGGGCAGCCCTGGGTGACAGGAGGGCCTGGCATGTCTCCTCTCCCATCACAATCCGGGGCTCCAGGGTGGCAGGGAGAGGAGCCTCAGTGGGCAGAGCCTGGGACAGGCCCTCAGGGAGGAGCTTAGGGCTCGGGCCGCCCTCCGCTGGGTCCGCCCAAGCTGAGGTTGCCCCACCAGGCCCTGCATCCCAGCTGGCTCCCTCGGGCTGGGGCCGGGCACCCGGCTTGCTGGGCAGAAACGTGAGAGCCAGGTGGCTGGGCCCTGGGGTCAGAGCACAGGGTTCCCGCCGGTCCCCTCCCAGGATGGTGGTAGCAGCAGCCGCATCACAGGACAGATCTGTGGAGATAGAGAAGATCGTGAGGTGCCCTTGGATGCATCTCCCAGGCAAGGGCCAGGCCCAGGGAGATGAATTCATGCTACAAAGAGCCCAGAGGAGGGCAGATCCAGGAAGGCAGATCCAGGAAGGCAGAAAGAAAAGGGAAGACGCTGTTTGCGCTGCATTTGAGGGAGAACTTTCAGGAGTTTTGACAGCAGAGAGCGACTGCTGGCAGTTTCCTAGAGGGGTTTTGAGGGAAGTGTTGCTAGGAGTCATGAACAGACCTGCCCGGTGGAGACCTGCTCGGCGGCTTTTCTCAAGGACACCTCAGCAAAGAACCAGCATTTCAGCCTCTCTGGGGAGACTGGATTGCAGTTTCCATTCCACAGAATCAGCATGGCTCAGCTGGGCTCGGTAGGAGGGGCTGGCAGTGGGAATCTGCCGGGAGGCACCAGCCCCTTCCCAGGACCTCCCAGTAGATGAGCCACATGAGGCAAGCAGCACCGGCACGCAGCTCAAAACACTGCAGGCCTCGTGTCTCACTCTGCCTCCTCTTTCTGCTGTCCTTGCTACCTACACTTGAGGCCAACATATCAGGGTTTCACCAGGCCTCTCCAACCCTGCTCCCCTATTGCGGTCAGGGAGATCGGGAAGCCAGGGCCGCCACACACAGCCAAACTTCTGGAGAACAGAGATGAAGTGTCCCGCAGAGGCTGTGTTGGAGCATTTGGACAGAAGCAGTGGTGGGCAAGAGTGGTGACCGTGGAGCCCAGCAAGAGCACAGGACAGCTTCAGAGGGTCAACAGCAGCCTCTGGCTGACTCCTCTCCTGGGTGGCAGCCACCCGATGGGTGAGCACCAGTTCCTTCCCAGGTGCTGGGAGCTCCCACCCTACCCTGTGAGCCTTCTCTGGGTCCCATGGTACACTCCCCCAACCCCTGGGCAGACTTCAGCATGAGGAGGCTGCAGTACTCAGTAAACATCTGTGGGCTAACACACCTCCAGCTGAGAAAGGAGTCCATGCACATAGGAAGTAGCACACATGGGTCAGAAAGGACTTAGGGAACTCAGGAAGATAGAAGAAACCCCCTCGGAGGTTGCGGCACACCACACCACTATGGTTTTCTGCCTCCTGGATTCTTACTGGCCTGTATTTTATCATAGGTGAGATCACATTGCACATTCAGTTTTGAATCTAGCTGTTTTCACTCAACGAATCTCATAAGCATTTTTCTGTGTGCTCTAAATGCTCATAAACCTCATTTTAAATGTCTCCATTATGTCCACTCCCTCACTTGGACCGAGGCCAAAGGCACCTCTGTTTGAAGCATCCAATCAAGGCCCTTCAGTGCCCAGGCCAGGTCTTGCCCAAAGTGGGGGAGGGGTGGCACACAGGGGCCAGCTCTCCAGGCTGCAGATGCCTGCCCGGTGGCCCCTGCTCTGCCAGCACTCACCGGTGACCAGGATAACATCTCCTGTACCTCAGCCTTCTCATCTGCAAAGCAGAGCCAGGATTAGAGGTGAAGCTGAAAGAAGGGGCCCTCTTGCCAAGCTGCTCCTCCTCCCCTCAGCAACATCAGAGCCCTGAGCCCTGGGCCACCCATTAAAACTCATCACCTGAGGGCTTTGCTGCTGGGGTAATGGGACAGCCAGGGGGTCCTGAAAAGAAGGGGGTCCTTTGGGTTCCCACATGCCTGACACCCAACACCAGGAGTGGGTGTGGCTGGCAGGGCAGCACTGGGTGCCCTGAAGCTGGGCTCTTGGCTCTGGCCCATGGTGTGTCCCCCAGGGCAGGGGAACAGCTGAGCTGTTGGAATGGAACAGAAACCAAAGGCCAAAGTTTTTTTTATAATTCATTCAAGGTCACCAAGGAAGCCAGAACAGAGCCAGCACAAGATTCTGGGGCTGGGAAGTCCAGGCCTGCACTGCCTGCTTGCCACTTAGAGCAGTGGCAGCAGCCTGTGTCACCCCTAGACCAGGCCCCAGGACCCAGCACTGGTCCCATCTCTGGGTGACTTCTCGCCCACAGCAAGGTGCCCTTGGCCCTACCCACACATGGCTGACCTCCACGCCAGGATGGTCCAGAGTTGGATCTTTCTAGGCCCAGGTAGACTCCATCAGCCTCCACCAGTAATTGTTGACCCAGCCTCTCTAAGGACTGCACACCCAGGTGGTCTGCACACCCAGGGCCACTGCTAATCAGGCCACCTCTCCCAAGGCCTTCGACCTTCCAGACCCAACTTAGCCTTTCTTCCACAACCTGGATGGCTATCTGGGCTTCCCAGGCTCCGGCTGGTCCTGCTTCTCCCTCCAGAGCCATGATCAGTCCCTCAGCCCAGAACAGCCTGGGTGCAGCTGAGGACCCTCCCAGTGGTCACCTGATTGTACTGGGGGTAGGTGCTGGACACCCCGCCTCCGGAACCCACTGCCCCTGTCCAGAGCAGCCCAGCCCTGGCTGGCTGGCAGCTCCGTTTGTGCAGACAACGGGATGCAGCGGGCGGGATGTGAGCCCCACCACCCCTGGGTGGGAGGCAAGGCCTTAAGCCCCACGTCCTTTCTGGCTCGCTGAGGGTACTCCGTGTGCCCCACCTTCCCTGCAATTCTGAGAGAGGCGGTGGCAGGGTTCAGGTGGAGGGAAGGGCAGGGCGCAGAAAGGGGAGGGGACTCGAAGGGTGTCAGGAGGATGGGGAAGGGAGAAGGCTAGGAAAGGTGAGCGATGGATAAAGAACCCGGGCTGCAGATGGGAGCAATCGGCTGGAAGCAGGGAATGAGTGGTCATGACCTCACCTGTGCGGGGCCCAGGTCCGTCCGCCTCCGGCAGCAGCAGCTCGGCGCGGGCAGCCTCCCCAGGCATGGCCTGGCCGTGTGCTCGCCAGTCCCTCAGTCCCTCTGACCCTCCGTCAGTCCGTACTGCCGCCCCGCCGAGCCTGCGCGGCCACCGCCCCTTGGCCGGGTGGTGGGGGCAGTGGGTGACGTCAGGCCACCCCGCCCGCCTGTCCCCGTGAGTGAGCGTGCGCGGGCTCGCCAGGCACTGCGGAGGGCGTGGGGGTGGGGGCTCCCTCCCCACCCCCGCCCCACCCGGCTGTGGCCTTCCTTTTGCTGTGCGCTGTTTCGAGGGGGAGCTGGGGTGGATGCCTGAGCCTGGTCCTGCCCTTTCCACAGTATTCCCCCCCTTTACGAGGGAGGGTTTCAGGGCCAATTGGAAGCTAGGCTGCCCCAGGGTGGCATCAGCCCGTGGCCGGGAAGAGGCGGGGACGTCCCTAGAACCCTGGTTGTGGGAGACTGGGGAGGTGGTTGGGATCCTGGGATGCTCGGAGCGCTTTGGGTGGGGGTGGTGGTGCAGCCTCCTTCCCCGCTGACCGAGCAGAGGGTGCAGGGCCTGGGGAGGGAGGGGGCCCCGCCGAGCCCGATGCCTCCATCCAAAAGGTGAGCTGGAGCTGCAGCTCCACAGTGATTGGCTGGTCCTGGCAGTCGTCGGTCTCCGTGGCAACCGCCTCCTGTCTCCATGCCAACCAGGGATGGAGCCGGCTAGAGCGCACCAGGGAAGGCGGCCCGGATGGGCCAGTCTCCAGGTCTCTTGGCAACTCGGTGATCTGTCCCTTCACCTCCCATCCACCCCCACACTTCTCTAGGCAGTAGAAGGAAAAGGGAAGAAAGTGCTTCCCTCTGTTCCTGGCAGCACCCTTTGCCACACCTCCCAGGAGGAAGCCGGCCCCATGAATTTCCTGAAATGCCTCTCGCTTCCACACAGGCTGCTGTGCCACCCGGATTCACTGAGCACCCCTCCTCCCCGGTGCCAGGCACCAGGGAGACAGATGAATGAGACATTGTCATCACCCCTAAGTGGGGTCAGGGGAATCAGAGTAGCCATTGTCACAGACAGGAAGGGAGCTTTCAACATCCTCAGTCTTCTGTGGGTTCTAAATTCAAGCTCATGAAATCAGGGACTGCCCTCTGACTCCCCCAGACTTGCCTGAAGCCTCAGTGCTACACACTTGGCTGCCTGCTGTAGCCAGGAACCAGAATCACCAACCACACCATTAGAATTAACATCAACTTTAAACAATCTCTTCCAGAAAACAAAAGAGAAGGGGACACTTCTTAACTCATTTTATAAGGCAAGAAATATCCTGATGTCAAAACTAACAAAGTGCCAACACCCCCAAAGCGCCCCAAAACAAATACTGCAGACCATTATCTCTCATGCAGGCAGCCACAGCTAGCTAATTTTTGTATTTTCAGTATAGACAGGGTTTCACTATGTTGGCCAGGCTGGTCTCAAACTCCTGACCTCAGGTGATCCACCAGCTTCCCAAAGTGCTGGGATTACTGGTGTGAGCCACTGTGCCCAGCTCTATTTTTATTTTTTTATTTGAGATGGAAGTTTCACTGTTTCACCCAGGATGGAGTGCAGTGGGGTGATCTTGGCTCACTGCAACCTCCGTCTTCTGGGTTCAAGTGATTCTCCGGCCTCAGCCTCCTGAGTAGCTGGAATTACAGGTGCATGCCACCACACTCAGCTAATTTTTGTAGTTTTAGTAGAGGCAGGGTTTCAACACGTTGGTCTCAAACTCCTGACCTTATGATCTGCCCACTTTGGCCTCCCAAAGTCCTGGGATTACAGGTGTGAGCTGCCACACCCAGCTTGGTAAAAATTATTTAGAAAAAATAAAGCTGAGTTGAAAGGGGCCAACAAAATAAAAATGAAAGAGAACAAATTAAAGCTTCTAGAAATGGCCTGAAGGCAAACAGCAAATGAACAAACATCTATTCAAGGCCAGGTGTGGTGGCTCATGCCTGTATTCCCAGCATTTTTGGAGGCTGAGGTGGGCCAATCACTTGAGATCGGGAGTTTGAGAGCAGCCTGGCAAACATGGTGAAAACCCGTCTCTACTAAAAAAAAATACAAAAATTAGTTGGGCATGGTGGCACGTACCTGTAATCCTAGCTACTAGGGAGGTAAGGTAGGAGCTTGAACCCAGGAGGCAGAGGTTGCAGCAAGCTGAGATCAGCCTGGGTGATGGAATGAGACTGTGAAAGAAGGAAAGAAAAGAAAAGGAAAGGAAAGGAAAGAGAGAGAGAAAGAAAGAAAAAAGAAAGAAAGAAAAAGGAAGGAAGAAGGAAGGAGGAGAGAGAAAGAAAGGGAAAGAAAAGAATGAAGGAAAAGAAAGAAACATACATCTATTCAAGAAAATCTATGAGAATTTAGTAAGAAAGGCAAGAGTCTGTGGTATCTGAACCAAGACAACTCACTCCAGCAACGGGAGGTGGACTCCACACCAGACTGGTATCTCCAAGAACATAGGCTTCTCTTGTCCCATCTCCCAGCCAAAGGGCTTTCTTCCTGGGAGGAGGGAGTACTTCAGTGTATCTCATCCCCCTCCCAGTTGCCTGTTGTGGGAGTAAGTCCTGGGTGAGTCTGGTTGAGGTGGGGTTCCCTTCTCCCACTTAGCCCCTGTTTGTGGAAAGCAGGCTCTACCTTGGGTGTGAGATGTTGAGAATACTGGGGTCCTGTTAGCCCTTCTCGTGGCTGATGAGGTGAGAGTTCCACACCAGGAGAGGCTGTTGCCTCCCTTCCAGACTGCTCAGCTCCTAGAGTGGGAGTGTGACTCAGAATTTTGCCACTGAGCTCAGAGATTTTGCCTGGAGGGAAGAGGCAGGTTGTAAAACAGCCCAAGATCTCTTCCCATAGAAACTGACCTTACTTGCAAGGGAATACATGGAAGTTTAAACCCAAGGGTATTCTCAAGAGCAGTAAAGGTTATGGTGAAAGGCAACTGGAAGGAGATTCATGGACCTAATGAAGATACAGCCTAGGCTGCAGGTTGGCTCGTTTGCAAGAGAAAATGCGGTAATAAGATAGCTGGGTGGAGACCTACTGGGATTGGAGACAGTATAAAACACTGACCTCTGAAACTATTCCATCTAAGAGGCCACAATTTTGATTAGTTTGCAAAGGAATTTGTGCCCAGAGTATTGTTGAAAATGAGCAATCAGTGGAGTTTAACAGCTGGGTGTGGTTAGGAAAAGAGAGTAAGACAGCCTTACCAGAACCACTGTTATTCCCGGGTGACTGTGGGCATACCCATAGCTGCACCGCCCTGAAGAGGATCATCAGAGGCTGAACACTGTAGGGGAGAGGGACAGACCTCACCAAAATAATCCAACTAGTCACTAGGCAAATAAACAAGCAAACAGCAGAACAAGCCCCAGAAGGGAGGGGGATTGGACAGTACCGAGTTGCTATTGGGTACTGTTCATTTATTTATTTAATGGTATTAAAATGTCCACTTTTCAGCTGGGCATGGTAGTTTATGCCTGTAATCCCAGCACTTTGGGAGGCCAAGGTTCGCGGATCATGAGGTCAGGATATTGAGACCATCCTGGCCAATAGGGTGAAATCTGTCTCTACTAAGAATACAAAAATTAGCTAGGCTTGGTAGCACGCACCTGTAGTCCCAGCTACTCAGGAGGCTGAGACAGGAGAATCACTTGAACCCGGGAGGCAGAGGTTGCAGTGAGCCAAGATGGCACCACTGCACTTCAGCCTGGCGACAGAGACTCCATCTCAAAAAAAAAAGAAAAAAGTCCACTTTCCAACAAAAAATTAGCAAAGAAAGTATGACTTGTATACCAGAAAAACAAAGCAGGAACAGAGGCCGGGCACGGTGGCTCAAGCCTGTAATCCCAGCACTTTGGGAGGCCGAGGCGGGTGGATCACGAGGTCAAGAGATCGAGAGACCATCCTGGTCAACACGGTGAAACCCCGTCTCTAC